TGAACAATCGAAGGAAAGAGTGTTGTTGAATCATCCACTTCCAAAAGCTCTAGATATCAAGTGCTTCACATGTGGCAAAATAGATCAATTATGTTAGCACTGACACCTATTAGAGTTTTTAAATTGACTCTTTGGATCTTGATCAACCCAATGATCAACGGAAGAACAGGTCGATTTTGACCATTGTGAGGATGAAAACGAAGCCGAGGCACTACATTGGTCTGACTTAGCAGTCATTCACTCTGTTATTTGTTCAGTTTATTTAATCTACTTTGTGATACTATTTGGTTACATCGTATTACACCATTATTGACTTACGAAGTGATTTTTGACGTTCCCATTACAGCATGAAAGAGTAAGAACATAGGCCTTTTTAAAGTAGCACACACTTGTCCCTCCCGTTTGACATTATAACCAAGTGATCAAGCAAGCTCAGCCTTAAAAGCCTTTGGGAGTATATAATGAATACATGACTACCTTAGTGAGGCCTGATAAGTTACAAACTCGTCTGTAAAACCATTTAAATTGAAAAAACACACAAAGAGCCTAAACTTGTTACCAAGTGAACCAGCTCACTCAACTGTCAGACTTTTGTCGAGATCTTGCCACATAAATTCCTTGAACCCTAACTATAGGGGTTTTAATGCATCACTAAGCTAACTCTGATACCTTCTAAAACAGATTTCAGCAGGCCAAGGTTGCCAAGTTCTTATAGATCAGGTTGGCCCAAGCAAAATTAATTTTGTTCTGCTTAAACAATTGAGCTTTAAATGGGGGGGTTTGCCCATTTGGCAGCCCTATCTAGAGTCCCCTTGCATGGTAGTTTTAAGCAATGTTGAATGATGGCTTGTCACAGTTGACAACACGGTGCGTCACAGCAGCACAAAAACAGCCAAAACAAGTAGGAACTACTTGCAAGCCATGAAGAAGATCTTAAGTTGTTATTTTTAATAATAAAATTATAGCATCATAGTCATCGTCATTTGTATATTCTAATTAACGCAGCCATTTTCCAAATCCAAATCAAATTAGTTAGGAACAGAAATCCTTTTCTGACACTGTCGTTTTCCAAGACCGTGGCAATGACCTTCTAATTAGGGGTGTAAACGAGACGAACACAAGAG